GAATAACTACATGCAAAGTAACCTGCAAATAAATCAGTGTGCTATGAAGTCAAAAGAGTTTTGAATATGAACAAACAAAAGGGGAGGGAGGAGCAACTGCTGCTTGCAGTTAGTCATATGGTTTCAAAGTTTGTGGAAACTTTTTTTATATATAAAAAAAATCCTTTGGTCTAGTTGGTTTAGTTTTTCAGAAGTTTGTGAGCACGCTTCCCTTCCTCACTATAACACCATACCCAGGAGCTGTCTTTCAAACATCTAAAAAGTAAGGCACTTTTGCTTTTTAAGAAAAAAATGCAATGTTTTAAAAAGAGACTTCAAATTAATGGTGCATGAATCATTGCACGTGGTTGCTATTGTTGTTTTACAGTAGCTTCAAAGCATTGATCCTCTGAGAAGCATTTTAAATTTTGAAGGTGTATAATTCAGGTTCTCTCTCTAATTATTCACAGTCTAACATCTTGAAACGTTTAATGTTTTATTGACAAGAAGTTGAGCATTGCCCCTGCTGATAGGTGTGTGTTTTAAATATTGACTAGTATCTGTTTTTTTGTTGTTGTTTGTTTGTCTTTGAGGACAAATTTGGAATTGTGTCTTCATTGTGATTGTTTTGTACTTACTTGCATTATGGCATGGGTGACTGCTTGTGTTCTGAGACTTAAGAATGTATCTATACTACACATTTCTAGCAGCTTAACAACCATGGCTCCATGGTAAAGAAGCCCTAGATATGTTGTTTGGTAAGATACTTAGAATTCTTTGCTGTAGACCAGGAGAGCAAGAATGTGCCTTTAGGCTTCCAGATGTTTGGATCTGCAATTCTTCAAACCCTTGACCATTGGCCATAACATCAGTTGGCCAATCTCATGTTGATTGACCAGTCTGACCCTCTGAAAGACCAAAGGCTAAGAGTCAGTGCACTGGGGTGCTCTACCATGGGATTCTAAGTACTTCACTAAACTACAAATTCCAGGATTCTGTAAAATGGAGCCACAATGAAATAGCATCATGTTGTGATAATAATGTAGTATAGATGTAGGTAGCCTTGTTCTGTCTACTGGAAACAGACCTGATGTAGTGCATCACTAGAATGCACTCTTGGATTGTTATATGTTTGAACACTGATTATTAGATACCAATTTAAATGCCATTACTCCACTGGCATCTTTGGATATGTACTTGCTGTGATCCACGAGAGTGCACTAGTGTGGACCGCAGACTTCCAGATGTTTTGAATGTCAGTTCTCAGAATCCCTGATTATTGTCCATGGCCTAGAAATGGACAGTGGCCCTCCTCCTCCTCCTCCTCCTCCAAATATCTTTTGGCTGGAAAAGTTTCCGTGTGCCCCTTAATGGCCATGGGTGACTTTTCCCCCCCTCATTTAGTGGAAGAGGTCTCTGGGTTTTAGAATCAGATTGACTTTATTAATTAAATGACTAGAAATGACTTCCAGTTGGGAGAGAAAGCTTGGCTTGGTCTAAAACAAGTCCCAAACTGGGGGAGGGATGCATCATAATGGCTCCTCATAGATCCCAGTGTGCATGGAGAGGCTTTTTCAGACAAAAAGTTTTTAAAACATTTGTTGTTGTTGCAAAAATCACTGCATCAAAAAAGGTGGGGGTGAGGTTGGACTAATGAAAGTGAGGGTGCATTGGAGCATTGGCAAAGGCCATGCTCTCCCAAGTCCTATTCTATCTACTCTCCTCCCTGACAAATAGGAAATACATGCCCTCCAACTGTCCTTATCTGTCAGGGCAATCCTGATTAATCCTCTGTTGTCCTCCATTTTCAACTGCTTGTAAAATGTGCCAGTTCTTCTGTCCTCCTTCCACTTTCCCCCTTTGTCTTTAGCTTACTTCAGTTGCTGCAGACTGAGTTCAAAGTACAAAAATAGTTTGCACTATAACTCAGCAGCGAGAAGGGTGAGGAGGGCTAGGATCATGTCCTTTCCCATAGGCTCAGGCAAAAGCAACCTGCTGAGCTTCTACTAGCTTGTTTATTCTTCCTCATTAATAACCTTTGCCATCTCCACCACACTTGGATGTTGCTTGATAGATGTCTCCCAGTACTCATGTGTGGAGTGTTGGAGGGTATAGAAATGGCAGGGAGGGTCATGTTTAGCATAACAGAGGGAGAACTATTTCCCTTTAATTGTCAGTGAAGATATAGGATAGGATCCTCCTCTTACTATGTGAACCAGGGCTCAATTGATAAATGGAGGCAAGCATTTCTGACAGCAGTCAGGTTTTCCAGACTGGATCCTTGCTATGATCACTGTGCATTGCCACTGTGAAGCTTTCCATCTAATCAAAAGTGATATGGCTTTTGTCCATCTAAAAGAGTTCTGGAGTATTCTTTCAGCTACCTACTGTCATGGTTTTAACTGGAGATGAAGTGACAGGAGCTTCATTAAATCTGCCAGACTACAATCCAGAGTCACATTCTGCCACTGATGAGACAGCCTCCACTTTTTCTACCTATAACTCTTGCTTCTATCATCCATAGCCAGTTGTAACAACCTGGACTTCAATTGGTCAGAAAACAGGAAGGGCAGCAGAGCTTGAAAAAAGTTACTAATTTGGATTAAAACTTGAAAGCATAGCTCAACCGTACTAGCTCAGTGATTCAAGAAGCCATAGTCCAAACACCTCATTTTTCCAAGGATCAAAAGGGCAGTGCCAAAAAGATACTATGGCTGCCTCAGGCATTCTAGGCTACAATCTGTTAAGTCAAAGTTCTATCAAACATTAGCTTGTCATCATGGAAGTCCTTTAAAAGCTAATCCACTTGGTACAAAGCTATTCTCTTTGTTGTGAGATTTGCAGAAGTTGCTCAAGAAGGACCTTATCTTTGCTTTCAAGCTTGTCCCTGCATTACATGTGGCTCAAGAAAAAAAGAGCTCTTTCTTTCTTAGATCAGATTTTCTATACAACATTAAATCGTTTTGTTGTTTTTTAAAAAACACAACAATGTCCACAGAAGTATTTTCTTTATCTCCCCATAATTATATAATCTGTTTGGATTATCCTATTTGTTTCAGCATCCCCTTGAGTTTCTAATTCTGTATATTCTGCAGGCTTTTGGAAAGTCCTGAACGATTGTTTCTTGACTAGTACTCTAATTACTCCAGGAGACTACAATATTGCATGTACAAAATAATTACAGTTGCCCCTTCATTTTCATGGGGAATCGATTCCAGACCCCCTCCCCCGCAAATACAAAACCCCCACAAATATTCAAGCACCATTGGCTTGAATGGCTGTGTGCTACTGCACACACCATTTTACCCCCCCCCCCCCCCGCTTGCTGGTCCATGAAGGACCAAGACTCAAAGTCTATGAATGGGGAGGGACAACTGTAGGTTTTTTCCACTTAAAGGTATTCTCTTTTGATTAGCAGCCAACGCAATACTGTGCTGTATTTGAATTTGGGCAAAGCTGTGAATAGAACTCTGGGTTTTATTACTTTATTAATGCTTCTCACAATTACATACTGATGAAGAATTGCCTGATCTCAGACTGACAGACACTTCCAATTTCTTACACTTTTCCTCAAGCGAGTCCTGCTGTGTTATACTCAAATTAGATGCATGGGTGATGATGGCATTTGCAACCCAAACAACAGGGACTTTTATTTACTAATTCTGTAGATATGTGAAATGTGTGGCCCTTCAGATGTTTTTGGAATGTTACTCCCATCACCCTTTTCTACTGGTTGTGCAGGCTAGGAATCATGGAGAACTGTTCTTCCTCAACAGTAAGGCACTTTTCCACTTGTGTGCTAGAGATAACAGTCCTCTTCAGAATTTTCTTTCCAGATCCTTGAATATGTGAACTAGAATTTCTGTAGAAGATTAATGACTACATCTTAATCAGTTCTACAACTTTTTTCTCTCTTTTGGAATATGGAATGGTATTTTTTACTTTGTTTCATTTCAGATTCTGCCTCCATTATGGAAACAGTTTTGGATTTGTGGGCAGAACCCTTTCAAATAATTTAGTGCATATTTTTTTAAATCTCGGACTATATTTGTTGCTCTTATAGCCAAGTTTGGTTGAATGACAGCTTGGTAGAACTGAAGATTCATTCTTTTTGCTCTGATATTTGCTTAGCAGATTGTATACAAAATTCATGGTGCCATCATCTTCCCATGCTATTCAAATCTGATTTGCCATTTTGTTGTCTTTTGTTTTTAAAAATTTACAAGTAGGCATTTTGGGCAAACCAGTAATACATTTTGCAATCTGACAAATCATAATAGAATAATTTTCACATTCAAGTAGACATATCCCCCCCCCCATGGATTTATCTGTGGGAGTACTAATCTGCATAGATAAACTTTAATGTTAACTTTGCCAGAATAAATAGAAATTGCTGATGCCATTCCTGCACTTGTGGCTGGATTCTTTCCAGCTGCTGAGATCATAGAAATGATTCTGTCTGCTCAGTCTCTCTTGTCTGATGATTTTTGTTTTTATGTGTCCACACATGCATGCAAGAACCAGTTATACTCTCCCCATATTAATATTTGTTAATAAGACAAAAGTATATGTTTATTGTATCTCAGTCGACAAGGGCCTCTAAGGTAAGGCATAGCAAAGAATTATAGAGTTGGGTGTTAAAGATGGAATAGAAAAGTATTCCAAAGGTAATCTAGTTCATCCCCTGACAATGCTTAGAAATCCCCATCTCTGACAAATCCATATTATAGATATAGCTACAGACAGTCCATTAAATGTTAGCCAGCAGGAGAAGGAATGGAGTCACCAGCCAGCCCCTTCCTGGCTTAACTTCCTGTGTAAAGAGCACAGAAAACATATATCAGGAGACTTCTACACCCTAATATTTTTGTTGTTATTAGTGTGTGCCTACAGGTCATTGCTGACTAATGATGACCTTATCCTATCACAAGGGTTCTTTGGCAAGATTTCTTCAGAAGGCCTTTGACTTCCCCTGAGGCTGAGAGAGCGTGACTTGCCCAAGGTCACCCAGTGGGTTTCCATGGCCGAGCAGGGATTTGAACCTTGGTCTCCAGAGTCATAGTCCATTGTTCAAACCACAATACCACACTGACTTTGTCTATAATTATAATTCAGTAATTTCACAATGTTTCTAATACTTATATATTTTTTTCTATTTCTTATATTTTAAAATGCTTTTACTGCTTGTCCCCCCCCCCCCCCCCCCGTTTTTGTTTAGCCCACCTTTTTTGAACACACTGAGACAGTATGTATACTATCTGGTAAATCTTATAAAACTAAACTTTAAAAATGTTGAAAAACATATAGCCAGTCAAACAGATCAATGTAAATATGATTTGCCTAGACTAAATAACTTGGGCTTAATGGATCATCCTTCCTGATATCATAACTTTGAATAAGCTCATGAATTTTGACATGTGTTCTGAAGTGCACTCAGAATACAATTTATCACAGCAAAACCAACCCTTGAAAAGTCATCATGTAGAAATACGTTGTTGAAAACTAGTCTGTTACAATAGTCATAAAAGAGCATAAAAACAGAAAGACTAACTCACAACCCTCCAACATTTCATTTACAAAAACTGGGAAGCATCTGGCCTAACAACATCAGAGTGTGTTCAGGATGACAAAAGTGATTAATGACAAAGAACAGACAAGCTAGGAGAGGCTGCAGCGGTTTGCTTTTGTCTGAGCCTACTGGGAAGGGCAAGATTTTGTCCTCTCCTGTCATCTGCTGAGTTAACTGAGTGCAAACTACTTTTCTACTTTACATTCAGTTTGCAGTAACTAAAGTCAGCTGAGAACAAAGGGGGAAAGTGAAAGGAGGACAGAGAAACTGTCACATTTTAAAAGGAACGGAACAAGTGGAGCAATAGAGCGTTAATTGGGATAGTCCCTGTCAGACTGGGACATTTCCTGCTTGTCAAGGAGGGGAGTAGATACAACAGGACTAGGGAAGGTGTTGTCTGTGAGCTTCATGGAGTGCACCAGTGCACCCTCATCTTTCCCAGTTCAACCCTCTCTGTTTGGTACAGTAATTTTTGCAACAAAACTCTTTAGCTGAAAAACAACAACAACAACCCTCCCCATGCACTCTAGGGTCCATGACTGACAATTACACAACTGGGCTTTGGAGTTTGGGGAAGCACTGGAGCACTGTGGTTCAGAATTCTAAATATTGCTGTCATTGTACCTTCAAGTCATCTCTGACTTATGGTGACCCTAAGATGAACCTATCACAGGGTTTCCTTGATAAATTTTGTCAGAGCGGGTTTGCCATTGCCATCCTTTAAGGCTGAGAGTGTGTGATTTGCTCAAGGTCACCCAATGGGGTTCCATGGCCAAGTGAGATTTGAACCCTGGTCCCCAGAGTCACAGTCCAGTGCTCAAACCACTACACCAAACTGGCTTTCATGACTACCCCTCCCTAAAGTATCATGTGAAAGGGTCCCAAGAGAAGCATTTCAGCCTTATTTGACCTGTAGAAAGTACAGTTATGGGAGCCTAGGAGTAGTTGAGGGCCACAGAAGCAGCCATGGGCATGGGCTGCATATGTGGCTCTAGGGCTACACATTTGGCTGCCCCTCCTCTACAACTATCAAGGACCTTCTAACTGTACTGACACTGCCAATTGCACTTACATTATTTCTTTCTGGGGAAGGACTGAAGCAGTGATAGAACACATAATTTGCAGAAAAAAAGCATCCCAGATTCTGCCCTGATACTTCAGGATAGGTCTCAGGGAGAGTAGAGTGGGCTCTACTCTCCACTGGGGTTTGGTTCTAGGACCCTAAAATCCATGGGTGCTCAAATGCCATTAAATACGATGGCATAATAAAATGGGAAAATAAAGGTTCCATATATTCTTCCACTTCACATTTTTTATCCAGAGTTTCAACTATCCATAGCTGGAAAATATTATATATATTCCAGCTATGGGTAGTTGAAACTGTGGATAAAAAATATGTGGATATGGAGCACTGACTGAATTTTGTGAAATTATGAGGAGCTAATACTACTCATTGCCAACTAGGGATGGACAGCCTCTGGGAGTGAGCACACTTATTATCTTATTAACAGCAGTAGCAGCCTCAGCCGCAGCTAATGCTGTGGCTACCTCCTCCTCTGCTCCCAAGGAGACCCCAGAGGGCTGTCTCCACAGCCACATCCCCTTCACATTTTTATATACCTCCAAATGCCCTCTATGGGCATGATAGTATTTTGGGCATGTTTTGGGCCTCCTTAAAGTTGTTTTAGGCCCTGGAAAGACCTTGTTTGTACATCAGGATGTGACCCAGAAGTCACTTCCAATTCACATCCTATTTTTTAAAGGGTATTCCTGGGTCTAAAATTGCCACAGGTGTAAAAACACAGCAAATTGGGAACAATTTCTGACCCTTGGAGAACCCTTGAGGCAACAAAAACAGCTGTGGGGAGCACTGTAGCCCACAGGCCAGACTTTGCCCACCCCAGTGTAGACAATTATGTACTAAATGACCAAAAGAATGACATGACAAAGGACACTTTCTCAAATCCTGTTACAGAATTTCCTCATTTATGGGTAGATGTTCATTGCATGCATGCATCTCCGAAGATGTAGAAATAGAGGAGTTTCATGCACACAGTGTACTTCAACAAACTAAGGTAATTAGCTTGAGAACACTGGCAGCTGAAACATACATATTTTTATTTTACCACAAATGTTTATGGAAGGAAAATAATTTATTAATATACAAGTTTCCTACCCACAGATGGCAAATTTCCTAACAGCTGTGACAGAGCAATAAAAGGAGGCACTGGGAAGTTATGGTTCAAAAAATCAGCAGGGAGACCACTGGGAAACTTTGAGTTAGCATTTTGGAAACTAAATGCAATAAGGGGCCCTTCACATTTCTGTGGCATATATATAAGGCAAATCTTTTGAGCTCTTGATGTCAGTAGATTGTGGCAAAGAATTGGAAAGGCTCAAAGACTTGTATTTGCTGTATTCACACTGTTTCCCTTGGTAATTTTGCCTAGTGACATCACTAGGTTTGGTGTCACCTGGTGTGATAACTCATGATGTCATGCCCATCAGCTTCCTCCTGTACCAGACCAAAATTTTTTCTAATTTTTTTTTCTATCATGACTTATAAATTGTAATTCCTATGTATCACTGAATGTAATGGCAATAGCAGTGACACAGGAGCTTAATGCACAGCCAAGAAATGCTGGCTTACCTGTGCTGGCTTCAATCCTCTTCTAGGATTTAATAATAATAATAATAATAATAATAATAATAATAATAATAATAATAATAATGTGAAGTCAAAGGCTTTCATGGCTGGCATCCATAGTTTTTTGTGGGTTTTTCAGGCTATGTGGCCATGCTCTAGAAGAGTTTCCTTCTGATGTTTCGCCAGCATTTATGGCTGGCATTTTCAGAGAATACTGGAATGGAAGAGAGTGAGTACACACACACACACTGTGAGACCTCTGGGTGGGGAGGAGTGATTCCCATGTAAACTGTGTATTGTTCTGTTGTTGATGGCAGGGCCTCAGGGTGGGAGGATGTGCAAACGAGGATTGGGGTCTGCTAATTGGTGATCATTGTCTGCTGGGAAAGCCTCTGACCCTGGGTGGTTTCTCATTTACATTTGCTGAGTACTGATTTTTCTATTTTGCAGGACTGATAGCCAAACTTTGTTTACTTTAAGGGTTTTTTCTTTCCTGTTGAAGTTGTCCAAGTTTTTGTGGATTTTGATGACTTCCCTGTGCATTCTGACCTGATAGTTGTTGGCATGATCCAGAATTTCAGTGTTTTCAAGCAGCATTTTATGCCCAGTGATACTGCTGAGTTTGCCTGCCCCCCTTTCTTTGGAAGTCTAAACTCTATAAATTCTCAGTTGAAGTTTGAAGTCACTGCAATGCTAGAAATTTGAGGACTAAAGGATCAGTTCATTTGGAGAGAAACAATTCTTATTTGAGGGCCAGTGTCCTCATTTGGTTCTCAGTGGCCATATCCCTGAAGAAAGATAACAAAGAAGGGGATGTGAGCCAAATGGATTTTGGGGAGATTTTGGACTGGTATGACAGAGAATCTGTTTATGATGGGCATCATGATCAATATGTGTACTGAATGTCCAAAGAAAATGGCAGCTGAAAAGTTCATACTGGGACTATACATACACTATGACTTTGGACAGATACCTAATGGGAAAGAAGGAACGGTTCAGTAGCCTGACTGTGAGTACTGAAAAGAATTCATTCCCTTGAATTTCCAGCTACCTAGTTGAATTAACCTGAGTAAACATTTAAGAATATATACTTATTAGAAGCAGATAGCTTGTGATATTTAGAACAAAGAATATAACAAAGTGATCCTCAGATAGTACTTGATTCTGCTGATCTATCTTAAGAGAAGGATGATTTAGGATTGGACCAAGCAAGAGCTTTAGTGTAATCCATTTAAACATACCTACTGAGACACATGCTGCAGAAGAAGGTATCTGCATTTATCTAGACCACAAGTTGAACATGAGTCAACAGTGTGATGCAGCAATTAAAAAGGCCAATGTGATTCTAGGCTGTATCAACAGAAGTATAGTGTCTAGATGAAGGGAGGTAATAGTTCCATTCTATTCTGCTTTGGTCAGGTCTCACCTAGAATATTCTGTCCAGTTCTGGGCACCACAATTAAAAAGGTATTGACAAGCTGGAGCATATCCAAAGGGAGGCAACCAAAATGGTGAAAGGTCTGGAAATCATGCCCTCGCATAGGCAATGAGGAGAGAATTAGGGAGCTGGGTATGTTTAGCCTGGAGAAGAGACAATTAAGAGGTGACATGATAGCCCTGTTTAAATATTTGAAGGTATGTCATGTTGAGGATGGAGCAAGCTTGTTTTCTGCTGCTCCAGAGACTAGAACATGGAGCAATTGATGCAAGCTACAGGAAAAGGGATTCCATCAAAACATTAGGAGGAACTTCCTGGCAATATGAGCTGTTCAACACTGGAACACACTCCCTGAGAGTGTCGTGTAGTCTCCTTCTTTGGAGGTTTTTAAACAGAGGCTGGATGGTCATCTGTTGGGAGTGCTATGATTGTGTATTCTTAGATGGCAGGGGGCTGGACTGGATGGCCCTTGAAGTATCTTCCAACTATGATTCTATTTGGAGTTCCTAAGCCTAACACACCATGTGATAGGGAAGGAAACAATATTTGCTGTAATTTGTTTCCTTGCCCAAAATGCCACTCTTGACAATTGGGAAACTTAGTTGGAAAAAATAACATGGAGATGAGAATGTTGTGCAGTTTTCTCCTGGTATTAACACATCCCAAAGGATTTTGAGGAATTGTTTTCTGTGGAAATACACTTGTTTTGTTTTGTTTTTCATACATGCAAAAAGCACTGTTTCCAAGAACATAAGTGGGGAGTGGGAATGATACAAGAACCATAAGGCTTTTAGCATAAAACTCACTATTTTGCAGACAGATATGCATCTGAGGAAGTAGACTTTAGAGCCATTACAGACTGCCAGAAATAATGCAGCTTGAGGCCACTTTAACTGCTCTGGCTCAGTGCTAAGGAATTATGGGAACTATAGTTTATTGTGGCACTAGAGTTCTCTGACAGAGAAGGCTCAACGTCTCAAAAAACTACAATTCCCATGATTCCCTAGCACAGAGCCAGGGCAGTTAAAGTGGTCTCAAGCTGCATTATTTCTGGCAGTCTGCAAAGGCTCTTTAGTCTACAAAAGCTCATGCTGCCAACTTCTTTCTTTCAGTTCCAAAGGTGCTACAAGGTGCTACATATTGATTCTACAGACTAAATGTAGGTGAATACTACATGGAAATACATATATTTTCATACATACGTATATTTTCATACAGTGCAGAGAAACCTACAGAAATTATTCATATGCACATATAAAGATGAAATAGTTGAATATTTACATCTCTATCATGATGACTTTTCCTTTTAAAACAAATATGGTAGAAGATGCACAGATCACAATAGTCAATACGAACAAAGGCAAATACACTAACATCAGGATCCTCTTGTTCCTAGTTGGAAAAGATCCTCTCTCAGCAGCCTTTCAGAGAAGAAAACATATGAAAATAAGAGACTTGTGACTTGTGTCACCTACCAATCATTAGACCTCAGTCAGCAGGAAGGACAGATTGAAACCTGCTGCCCTACATACTGATATAAACCTGCAAATGCAGCTACTTAACCATTAGCAGCCAGTTGTTTCCATGGCAGTGAGTCAGTTCTGGCTTTTATTCCAGACTTTGAAGGACATACTCAAGGAGCTGGATTTAATTTGAGGATAGAGTTGAGCACTATGGATAGCTCATCTCATGTGTGGAATAGAACCCAGAGCATATTCACCATTATCCTGTCATACTTGAATATGGCCCTCAGGT